AATTAACTTTTGGAGGTTCAAATTATGGATCACTCTCCTGACTAAACTATTGGGACCATATTTTGCAGATTGTCTCTAGCTCCTATATTTTTTGGGTCAGAAATCCGAATCTTTAAAAAAAAGGTATGCTTATTCAGAGAAAGTACGTTTTTGTGTCTCATTTCGTAAATTTAAAATATCATCTGCACTAATTAATTCGCATAGCTCTGGTCACCACTTCGACCTTTATGATAGAGTCCTAGAACGGGAAGATTCGATCATTAGACCAAAAATTATTCAGGATGGTCAGTTTTTTTAAAATTTTTTATTTTTATTTATTATTTTTTGAGCACTGTACACATAATTTTTTTTTAAGTTTATAGAAATGAGGTTTTTGCTTCTTTCGTAACAAACATAAAGGGTGCTCACTTATTTTAGTATCCAGTAGATATATTTTCGAACTTCCAAAACTGTAATTTAAAAAAATGTGTCTAGATGTAGTAAAAGGGCTACCATCTGCAGACTTCCGAAAACTGTATAAAATACGAAAAAAATGATACAAAGTTAAAGGAATTTTTCTTAGCAGGAATACACATTGATGTCAAAAATTCTAAGAAAAGAACGTTTGAAAAGCATATTTGTTAAATCGCGATTACTTAGACGTGATAATTAGGCGTATTACTTAGATGTAAAAAATAACTTGTATTACAAGCTGCAGTTTTTTGATATTTACTTAACTCTTTGGGAGTTAATGGGACAATATTAATCTCAATTATTTTTGACAACAATATAAATCAAAGTGTAATTGCAATCAACCACTATAAATTCTAAAAAATATAAGGAAATTAAGCAGCTGGAATATATATAAAGAATTCAAGAAGAATATGAAGAATACCAAAATGAAGCAGGTGGCTTCATTTTGGAGTTTCATACGATGATCACACTTCTTATCTATACTTTTAACTGTAATTTTATTAAGTGTTTCCGCCTCGCAAAAGGACAAGCATCATTAATAACAGTAACTTGTAACTGGTAGATGTTTCTCCTACTAGGCAGTTTTGGTGCACATTACTGAGTAGAAATCACTAACGAACAAACGTTCATTTGGCACCTTTAACGTCCTTTAAGCTTCGATTCATATGAAATCAATGATGCTCTATAACTTACTCCCCCCATATTTAGTATAATGCTCCAGTAAAGAAGCGATAACTCCGCTGCTTTTCCATCATGAGGCTTTGCAAATGGTTTATTTTGCACTGCATATTAATCACTTTACTGTGCCAAAAATCCCATTGGCCGATACTTAAACCACGGGGAAAACCTTTCATGGCTAATTCTTTTTTTTTTTCGCACAAATAATTTACAATTTAAAGCATAGCAAAAGTGAGTTCAGATTAACCTGAAGTTAACCATGAAGTTTTGAAAGCTGGCAATTTTTTTTCTCTAAATATCGAAATGCAAATAAATTATGTCAAGATTACTCTGAATTACGCGATTGGGTGATTCTGCAAATAATTGCATGTTTGCAAGAGACATCACGGTAAGTAAATTCGTGGCATTTGTTGATTCAGAAGTCAATTAGGCTTGACACAGATGTGATGTTGCTCTCAAGTATCCAATGAAATCTAATTTAAGTTACATGGTTAGGCATGATCACTTCTTCTAGAGTTGTAAGCCGCCAATTCGTTTGCATTTAACTATTTTGAAAATATCTTTTTAGCATTTGAAATTTAATGGTTTACTCTAGGTTCATCTGAATTAAATTTTTTCAAAATTTAAATTTTAAAATAAAAATTTAAGCGAAGCAAAATTTGCCATGTTTGGATTCTTCTGTAGTATCGCGTCCTCTTACCTATAACTGCTAAAGTTGGATTGTTACGAGTGGGAATACGGATTTTTTTTTTTTGAACTCGGCATTTTCTTTTATTACTTACTATATTTTAAAGCTAAAATAAGTTTAAAAAGAATTAGTCAAAGAATTAAATTTCTTACTGAATGATCTTTTAATTAATCTCTAAAACTTGTATGCACTTGACTAATTAGGTAATTGATTCTAATAGAGCTTTCTAAAGTAAAAGACTTAAAAAAACTACTCATATTTGGAATCTGTTTCATGTAGTCCAAATTAATCAATCAAATCAGTCCAAATTATCTGTAAAATCGAGAGTACTTATTGAATAGTGTTTTGGACTGTTTCAATAATTTTACAGCTTTTTTTAAAAAAATACCATATATTTTATTCAAATATAGATACGCGAAAACAAAGTTTAGAGAATTTTTTTTAAAATTTTTTTCACAGATAAAACAGATAAAGTTTTCGTGCTTGTTTCATTTTGCCCTAATTAACCCAATGAAAAGTGGTTTAACTAGTAGGGGAAGGGGGACATTCTTTTCGTTTAAGCTTGACCTTAATGATTAAACTTCTTTGCACGCTTTTGTCTCGATGTTTTTCTACTCTATTTTGTGTTTCGACACTGTGGATGGTTCTTGTATATAAAACCGAAACTGTAGTATGTCTATTTCGTTTCCATCATTTGTGCTTCGTTCGCATTTTTTTTCTTTAATTATTCATAACACAAAGTATACCCCATCCTCGTTTGAATAACATGATTTTGTCTTAATAGTGTTTTCCGTCAACGTTAAGTTACAAGTGTGTATTTTTGTATGCATTTTGATTATAGCTCAGCTTTAAAGCTGGAAATTCGCTAAAACATTAAAAAGTGTGGTCTTCAATCTATTAAAAGATTTGTTTATAAGAAAACCAAACTAATTAAATAAATGTCACGAAACTCGCAAGATTTTCAGAGCTTCTTTTCTGAATGGAACAAATAGTGACTATACATATGAGATTAGCAATTAAGTTCAAAATGTTTTTTGCATAAAATATTTTTTGAAGTTAAATGTGTCGGAGTATTCCATTTTTTCGGTTAGCTTATTGGTCATTTGACACAAATTTTCGTGAAAAAGTTTAACATTGGATTTTCAATAAACTTAACTGGATAAACACTACGGGGTGCGTCTATACGTGGTTAAAATTTATAATTTTTGCATACCAATCTCGGCTAGAGAAATGGCACTTTCTATACATAGCAAATATATCACGAGCTGCTTTTATACCCTTAGAAGTTTGGTTAAAAGCAAAAGGTGTTTAAAGTGCTTTATTTCTTAACTAGACATTAAATTTTAATGAACTGCATATTAAAATAATTTGAACTAAAACAACAAAGCATGGAAACGGTAAAACACAACATTATTAAGCTATTTAAATGACAAAAGAAAACATTTAGCGGAATGTTAAATTATTTTTTTTTTAAAAAGGCAGGGGTTTTAATGCGAACGTAATATATATTAACTAATTTTTTTCTAAATTTAGACACGGGTATTAATTTTGCACAAAGAAAAGAAAAGAATACAAATTAATATTCATGATTTTGTTTCTCGTACTAAATGTTAAACCTTCCCTCCTTGATTAGTACAAGATATGTCTGCATCTCAGTATGCAGGATGTTCCACCATACTTATTATGCATTATTATTAGTAATTTTGACAAACCATCAGTCTGCACACTAGGGATATACGCAAAAACAAGAATGTCAAGCAAAAATGACAATATACAAAAATGAAAATGTCAAATCATTAATGAAAAAGATTGGATATGAAACATCAAAACCCATTTGATTGCTCGAGAAAACAGAGAGCTAGGCAATTAATACCAACACCTTCAAGTTTGAGGCAGCAAACTTTGAGATGATTTTAATTTCAACAGTGATTTCTCAATTTTATAACGATTTTATATTTCTCGTTGAAGATAATAACTTGTTATACCTGGTGTACAGTGCAAAAAAAGGTGCGAAAAAGCTAATCATTCTGAATAATTTTTGATCTAACGATCAGATTTTCACGCTTTATTAGAACTCAATTTTAAAGGTTCGGGAATGTAATCTTAAATACCTTAATTAATGCAAGCGATATTTTAAGTTACGTAATCAGACACAAACGTTCCTGCTCTGAATAAACATACCATTTTTTCGATGGATTTTGATTTTCAACTATCAAAATATGGGGAATAACCGTATTCAGGTGAATATGATCCCAATAGTTTTTTCAGGAGACCAATCCAAATCATGTAATTTCACTTTTTGCGTATATCGTCATATATCGAGAATTTTTTCACGCGAATGGAAATATTTCTGCACACTATTAAAAAGTTCGCTTATCCGAATATAACTCCATGTAAAAATTCCTTTTTAATAAGGTAGATAACATTAAGGGGTCCAAACATTAGACAGCTCCAGAACAAAAAAATAGAAGCATTATTTCCGATATTACGCCCTATATTTTGAGGGTTAGAAATCCAATTCTCTCTCTCCTTCGAAAGAGATGTATTTTTATTATGAAAGTTAAAGTGTTTGTACCTGATTGCGCAACGTATAATATCGCTACAACCAGAGCCGGATTATACCTTTCGTAGGCCCAAGGCATAGCCGTTTTTTGTGCCCTCCTCTCCTTCCCCCACTCCTCCCCTCTTTTCAAAATATATGCTAAAATTTTCTTGCATATTAATAATGAAACAGATTTTCTNAGATTTCGTTGAATCCAAAAATCGCAAAAAAGTAATATATTAGATCATAAGATTCTGCAAAATAATTTATTACCGAAAAATATTATATTTTTATTTGTATCTTCATAATTTTGTGCAAAATACACTTGTTGTTTTTAAAGCTAAATTATTTTTGTCAACAAATTTTTTTCTCCCAAGTTTTTCGTAGGCCCCTGAATTTCGTAGGCCCTAGGCACGTGCCTAGTGTGCCTATAGGTTAATCCGGCCCTGGCTACAACTAATTAGCTAATTTAAGGTCTGGCTGTCAAACCACTAAATTCTAGCATGCAGAAATACGATTATTTGATAAGAAAATATTGAGGTTTTTTCACTCTGTGTATTTACATATATATATAATTTAATATCCACTATTCTCATAGTAGAAGCATCTGTTTTTAAACCCCAAAATATTTTTTTCCAGTTGCACAGAAGCATGATGATTACTGGGTTGATTTTTGTTGTCATTGCTTTCATCGTAATATTTGTTCACAAAGATGGATGGAACTACGTAAGTAACACAATATATTAAATAAATAATCACAAGAAACTGAAGTGGTATAAGATATTACCGGATTAAAAACTTCGTTTGTTACAAAAATATATAAATAGGAAATAACACATTTACGTTTAAAAAGTTTTGAAAATGGGCGCTTTTTTTCGAGGGTTTGAAACATGACTGTTATTTCGCGTTATATATTTTTTAAAGGAGAACGAAGATTTTAATAAGATAATACAATATGTTAAATACTTCTATGTACCAAAAATAGCGTTATTCATATTCTCTTCAAATTATTAGAAAGTGTAGTAACATATGTTTTAACAAAATTGTATCAATATTCCCATTAATTACAATCATATTCAAAAATATAATAATTATTGTTGATAAATATATAACTGATTTAATATAATAAAGTTGTATCGAATTCGACTTTTAATGCAAGCCATCATTATTTGAATTTACATTTTAAGCCATTTAGTTGTGTGTATTATAGTTCATATTCAAATCTAATTATTTTTTCATTCAGATGAAGTTAATAACGAGCATTTTTAAATTTTTAAAAATTGCTCTTTTTTTTTCTCCAAGGATTGAGAAATTAAATTTTGTTTCTGATTAAGATGTAAAAAATAATCTATGCAAAAATAATCGATTTATAACAGTATTATTATTATTAAATCAATTTTATAATAAAGTATGAACGTTTGCCAATGTTTTTAAGTATAAGTTGAAACTTTTAAAAATGGGAAAGATAGAAAAAGTGGGTTTTGCGTTAACACTTGTACGGGGTAAAATCCTTGAGCAACTTGAAACCAGTTATCAAAAAAATATCTATTTTATACTAAGATAATTGCTGTCACTGTTTTCGTTCGATTTCTTACAAATATTAACAAGACATATCTTACTAACACACTTTTATTTTAAGTTTATAATTTCACTTAAACCAGACTTTTGGAAAAATGTCCCATTCCAAGTTTATTCTCCAATTTGATTTATGAACGAACTAACGTGTGAAGGAAAATACATAATAGTATTCACACTTTTAAGCATTTGAGTCGAATTGGATAAAACTTAATAAAATTGATTAAACGTTATAAAATTGATTTTATTTTGTAACCAGCGTTGAACAACAGACTCATTTTTGAGTTAACGACTATCAATGTTCAATTCCGCAGCCTTGTAATTTTGAACTCAACCCAGAATAGAAGACAATCCAGATAAATAAACAAGGGGATTCCTGGATCAAGCATTGGAACAAATTAACCTTCGTAGAGGACTTGCTGAGAGAACTAACTCACATTTGCGGTTTATTTGACGACAAGGGGGTTCTAACCCATGATCCATCTGCTACTAAGGATATTTTATGTTATCATTACGGTCGATGAAAGCCTGGAGCGAAATTCGCATCGACCAACCGTCGCTAGGATTCGAACCTGAGAGTCAGCTCATTCGGAGGAGGAAATTCTATCGTCTAAGCCCCAGCTACCCATAAAATTGATTGTAGTTATTTTGACTTTAATTATAAAACAATTGTTTTGATAAGATAGAATTTTTAAGTTTACGAAAGCTTTATCTCGGGATAAGGCATATATTGAAAGTTATATATCTTAATTACTTATATGAGCTCTAACTTTTACTTGTAGAGCAAGGCAAACAGATTTAAATACATTTTAGTGCATTTTGCAAAAATTAAAATAGTCATACTGTTTTTTGTTCAACCAATAATCGGTAAACAAAATTCAAGGAAGGAAATTAATTTAGGTCTTATGTTGCAACTTTTAATTCACAGAAACAAAAAAATAATTAAGGATTTGTAAGTAAACGGAAAACATATTGATGAAATCCATTTAAATAGTATAAATTTGTCTTAATTTCAGGCAACTAAAAACCCTCACGCCATCTTAGGTTGCATTGCCACAGGTTTAGGTCTATTACAGGTAAGAAGTCATTTTTTTCTTCAATTTCATAAATTCGTAGCTAAAAATTCGTATTTAAAAGTGTTTTTGTTGTAATTATTGTTTTATTTTAATTATTTTTTAAACCATTATACACTGAAACCATGTGAAAAGAGTTCCACTAATTTGATAAATGCTAGAGAAAAATTAGATTTACTTTTTTTGGTTATAACATTTGAGTTTGTGCTAATTCTAATTGACATCAAATAAAATCTCTCAAGACATGATTTACAATCAGATATGCATTGTAATGCTTGAAAAAAGGTTAATATTTTAATGCATATATATGTGAAAATCAATAAATTAATAACTATTTTTTAGCCAATCATGGCAGCTTTCCGTCCATCACCTGAAGATTCAAAGCGTCCCCTTTTCAACTTGTTTCATTGGCTTGTGGGAAACACAGCTCATCTAATTGCAAGTAAGATCATTTTGCTTTCTTTACGAATAAATTTTTTTTAAGTCTAATTTTGCAACAAAATATTTTTTGCAGTGAAATTTTTTAAAACTAAATATGTTAAGTACTTTGACATTATTCAGAAACTCTTTCTGTTTTTTGACTAATCCTCTAATTAAAAGTTTCATCTTTATAGGAGTGTATTAGTTCTATTTCGTTTATACACAGTGAGACCTGTGGTGTAATTTCTCTCCGAATTTGGCGTTACAGAATTTAAAAAATTGTGCGAAGGAACACCTTATTTTAAATTAACGCCAAATAGAGCGTTTATATATACTTTAAAAGGTATAGATTTGCAGTTATATCTTAACGAAAATAATAGACGATGCTTACATTTAACTCGCGGGTATAAACACCATTTTTGAATTATCTTCGCTTTTTAAAATGCCAATTTCGGCATACTTTGCTACAGATATTCTTAGTTAAATATTTGCTATGTATACTTTTGAGTGCGAAATATCTTGAATTTGTTGTCTTACAAACCGCTATATACATGCAAAAGCATTTTTAATCTTTGAGTTTGACTCATTCCGTAGTTTTGTTTTACATATTAATATATTCATTCATTTAAGCTGTCGGGCAAATTATTTTTTATATATTTCTTCCCGGAAGTGAACATGAAGATAAAGAATTTTTGGCATTTTAGGTAGACTAGGAAAAGTGTCAGCGTAGGAAATACTTGTCAATTGCTCTTAAAAACATCAGTGCAGAGAATAACGGGCAACTATACACCGGGTAAAGCCCCTAAGATATGAAACATTAATATAAGAAATATGTGACAATTGCCCTTATCTTTATGAAAATATCAATGTCAGGATTATAGGGCAATGGCCTTTGGCGTTCAAGGAAATGGCATGGTAGGGAATAGTGGGCAATACTACTGTGCCTTTTCATAACATTTACCAAAATACATGATTATTATTATTAATAACCAAATTAATCAGGATAGTAATTGCGTGGGCCAGTGCCCTGTATTCTTTGCAATGACTTTGTTTCTCATCAGTCCTTGGTGTGAAACCCGGGAAAGAATGTATAAAAATAATCTTATTCCAAATTGCCCTATCTTCCCTCATCTTCAAAAGAAATGAAAACTCCATTCCAATAAGGAAGTAGTTTGGAATTGCAGGGCTAGTTCGAAAAAGGTTCTGGTTTCTGAATAATATTGTATATTTTTCGCAAGGTAGAATTGTATTTAACAATATTTAAGAAGTTGCTTTTATTTGTTTACTTTGCCTTTCAATATTTCTTCATTTTTATGGAAAAATAATGTGAGAAAATTATTTGCTATTACCAGAAGTATTTTTACATCTTTTATTAATCTAGCTTGGTTTCATTTTATTATATAACTATGTTGATTAACTTTCCTTTATAATTTGAGGCAGTTATCTCCGAAAAGTCCAATAAAACTGACCTGGTCTTTTTTTCTTCTAAATATCATTTATTGCATTCTCTTCAACTTTTCTCTGTGTTTTTGTCATAAATGTTAATGAAAATTGTGCATGGGGAAATCATTAGTTTTAAGGAGGACCCCCAATGTAAAAAAAATACTTGCTTCAAATTGCTCTGGAAAAATAAATTTTCCAAGTACCATTTTTGTGTAATTTGAGATTTTGTTCATGTGAACAAATGAGAAAGATACAGTGAAAAGTTAGTTATACTAAAAAGTATTCACCATCAGTTACTTGTTCCGAAATATTAGAATTTTTTAAATATTTTTTGTTCAGATTATTTTACCTCGTCATATGAAGTGCTTGGAACAATATGATGTGTCTTTTCCAAAGGTGATAAGTAAGGCCCGGATTTTGATGACATTTGCATTTTTTTGCATTTTTTGCATTTTTGGACATTTTTTGTCTTTTAGAGCATTTTTTTAGATTTATAGGGCATTTTTTTTTAAATTTTTGGGCGTATTTTGCATTTTAATGCATTTTTTAAAGTTTTTTGTTAATTTTTCCAATTTTTATTATTTTTTATCAATTTTCATTATTACACTGGCTTCCAAACAATGAAGAAAATCTATAGGATATTAACAGGTGAAGCAAAATCTTTTCAAATTGAAGAAGAATTGTCAGTAAGTGAGACCGTCTTTTTCAAGTACGCACCTATAACATCAGTAGACGTTGAAAGAAGCTTCTGCAGGAATGAAAATTTACTTTCAGACAAGAGACGCTCGTTTACATTTCAAATTATCAAAAAACATTTAATAATCCAATGTAATTCTGATATTTAGTAATATTATGAGATGGAAGTTGTTATATCCATTAAAGTTTCTATACAAAATAAAAATATTTTGGTGTCAATATATTTTCCTTTTTTTGTTATTTTAGGATATAAAACATATTTTTCAAACTTTAATGAGCGTAGAACAAGTATTGCATTGTTTTATATTTTTTAAATGACTCATAATAATTTTAAAGTGCAAAACATATTTTTAATTCAATATTTTTACTTTATTTATGGCATTTTTTGCGCAATTTTTGCATTTTTAAGGCCATCTTTTGCCCTTTTTAAGGGCATTTTTTGCACTTTTTAAGGGCATTAGTTGAGATTTTTTAGGTCATCAAAATCCGGGCTTTGGTGATAAGATAACACCAAACTATTATTTCATATTTTTTCCAAATAGAAACTTTCCAGAGCTTTCATTATATAAGAGTAAAATATGTCAAAACATCTTATCACCTGCTTAAAATTTGCCGTGTTTTTTAAACCAAAACTGCTTTTCTGAACAATTTGAAATTTTATAAATATACTGATTCAAACTCTTCATGCATAAAATATGCATAAAAAAATATAATAAAAAAATTTAATAACATTTTTAATTCCTGTAAGAGTATTCAAGAAATCATTTAGAATCTGTGTTATATATTAGCTATTTCATTGAAAGTAAATAGGCAAAATATTTCGTATTCTAATTATTGTTATATAAATTTTTAATGAAACTTCAAACTATTTTTCTTGCAGTTATCACCATATTTTTCGCTGTGTCATTAGAATCCTCAGGTCTAAAGGAAAGCTTTTACTGGGTCATGGCTATTTTTGTGGTCCTACATCTACTTTTCCACTTTTTATTCCAAATGATAGCTTGGTCTGCAAGCAAGAAAAGTTAGTATAAATCATTTGAGTTAATATGGTCAATTTAACTATTTTTATTTAAAACCTCTCGACAAAACAAAATGGCCTTTTTTTTTAATGTTTGCTCTTTCAAAGAAAAATTTGAATTTTAACTCTGACTTTAATTAAATATTTCGATTTTTAACAATTTTAAAACATTTTTTCATGGTGTTTTACGCATACGTGAAAAGTTATTTTGCTTTTTTAAAAAGAATTTCTAAAATGGGAAGAGGACCTACAATCTATGAGCAAAAATTTAGTTTTGATTTTAATCTTAATTTCAATTTTTCGATATTTCTATGAATAAAATACAATTGACTGTGGTTTTAAAATATCGAGTTGATATTAGTGCATTTTAACTGAAATTAAATGTAAAACCACATTTCGTTACTCTGACAATGTGAACAGCTTAAACAAGTATGATAATAATTAAACCGCACTGCAAAAAATGGATGATCAAATTTCACAAAAATTTACTTGTTTTTGACGAAGCTGTTGTCTGGTGCATGCTCCTAGCAAACATTTCTTTAAAGTGGCGAAATAGGTATCTTAACTTATTTTATAACCGTTGTTGAACAGCTGACCCAGTTTTAGGTTTACAACTACCAATGTTCAACTCCGTAGCCTTGTATTTTTAAATCTAATCCAGAAGACGAGGGAACTCCTGGATCAAGTAATGGGAGAAGTTTGCATTCGTGGAGGGCTTTTTGATAGAACTAACTCGCATTTGCATTACATGGTAAGGAAAACAACGAAAACCTCCCACTGTTAGCCTGACGGCAAGAAGACTCTATCCCATTATCCGTCTACCGCTGGGTATATTTTGCGTCAGCACTGTATTCGGTGCAAACCGGGTGCGGAATTCATATCAATCAGTCATCGCTGGGATTCGAACACGATTCACTTCATTAGAAGTCGCACACTCTGTCCCCTGAGCCATCACGGCTCTAACGAAATAACTATCGTCATTTCTCTGAGGAAACGAATTTTGTCAAAATTAAAGGAATATTAGCAGCACCTAATCAATCTAGCTTTTCTTATAATCACTTTGTCGTGGACATCATATAGGTGAGTTAATGCAGCCCAAACAACACAAGGACAGATAAAACAAAGAGATGAATTATACACATGCCCGAAGCGGTATTCAAAGCTTCTGGTACTATATTCCTGGTACGAGGCCAACTCTTTGACCACCATACAGTAGAGCTCGGTTTGTATCGTCACTCTATTTTTGATGGTCTTGTCTTAATTCTAGTTTCGTCCTTCTAGTTAACAGTATTCCACAATGCACTGCGATGAAGTTCCGATTTAAGGAAACATTTTCGTCATATATTTGAGAGCTCACGTTTCGTTACAAATAGCGTGATTTCGTGGCAAAATTATTCTAAAGATCAATGAAATACAGATCAGGGATTGCTAAATCGTCAAAAGTGAGAGTTCGTTTTAATTTGCTTTGCAATAAAGTAACTTCCTTTTTTACTTCTTTTTTGCTTTAGAAAATGAAATGAAGATGATGGAAATGAGTTCAAGAACTGGAAATAACACGCCAAGTAATGATCCAGAAAAGAATCAAAAAGTAAGAATTAAATATTCTTCTTCATGATCTTTATCCAATTTCCCCCATAATATAACAGTCTGTATTCATAATGCAAACTCTTAGAGATATCGCTCTCTTTTAGTCCTAATAATTAGTAAAACAATGTGACCAAACGCATATCATAGTAGCGTTACATAAGCCTACATTTTATAGAGCAGAAACTCTAAAAATTATAATTACTATAATTGTAAATTTCATTCAGGTTATAATGTCATTTTGAGCAAAGTGCGACAAGAATAAATGTTGTGTTTAATGATTATCATTATATTTGAGCACCTATCAGGAGCGTTGCTTCCTTTTTCTAAAATCCAATTCGTCTCTCGAGGTACCTTTACCCGTCAAACACAAATGCCTCTCATAATCTTAAGATACTTTAGTGCCCTTTCCTCCTTTTTTCCGCCAAATACGAATTAATATGATCTTGAGATACTTTAGCTTTCCTTCCTTCTCTCGTCAAACATGAATAAATCTCATTATATATTACTAAATACCTCAAGATCGTCTTTTTTCTTGTCAAACTTAGAACCAGTGACCGTGAGATATTCTAGTGGGATTCGCTCATTTTGTTTCTCGAACACCGATGGTTCTCGAGAGCCAGAGATATTCTAATGATTCAGAGACCCTATGATCTCGAGATATCTTTAATAGTTTTACTTTTGCATTGAACTGCGATACTACAGCTTCAAAACACAATCTTTACCTCCTTTTTTTGTCGAATTTAGTTATTAACATTATTCATTCAGAGTATGCTATGTATAGTTTAGTATATTTTCACTGATTCTGGTTTTTGCATCTTTAACGTTACATTATTAAGCAGGGTATGCGGTAAAGACCACAATAAGCATTTTTTGAATCCTGACGAAAATAGTAGGGGGGAGAAAGACACATTGAGGATCACAAAGCGAAAAAAAAAAAACTAAAAAGTATCAAAATCAATAAAATAACTATCCACACAAAATCTACAGTAGTAGAAGGTACGTGGTATAAACGTCGAAACAATTTCAATTTGAGGTTAAAACTTGAACGTATGTTAAGTAGTCGTCTTTCAACTGTACAATCAAACAATCTTATTCATTATTCTATCTGCCTTCCTGTTCTACGATTTATCAGATTTAGATAGTGTGGCCTTTACGGAAAACCCTACATTAAACTAAATACAAGGGACTCTAGTATTTTTAATAAATATTAACTATATTTCATTCAAGATTCATTTTTATTGCATTCGTTTCGAATTATAAAGTAAAAGAAAGCATAAAGGTCGCCCTTATCATCAGTAATCAATATTAGTGTATAACCTACATTTTTTAAAATGTTTATTCCATTCAATTCATTACAATTTATCTTTTCTCTTAAGTATTATTTACTTCATATGATTCATTACTTTCTTTTCAGCATGACGCCTTTCGAGTATTGCTGTTTTGTGTTTACAGTATATTTCTGGTCATAGTTCTTCTCGTATTGTACTCATTGATTGGAATTGCGTGATGTATTCATTAATTTGTAGAAACTGCACTGTAGTTGTCTGTGCTTTTTCTTTATTGCAACCAAACCTTGAAGGATTCAAAAAGTGTTTAATATAATGTTTGTATATTAGTTTTAAGGCATTTTTCATGCTTATGCATGGCGTAACTTGAATTAACTGCAGTTAAATTTCCTTTTTGAGAAATAAATAAAGCAGTATAAAATTCTCTTATTTTGTTTAAAATAGAGATTAATTAATCAAGATTATAAAATTTTATATTCGTTATGAATATAAAATTTTATATTCATTATGAATATAACTATTGGCGTTCACAGTATATTACAAAATGTGAATACACAACTATGATAACAATTTTTTGTGTTTAACCCTTAAAATTATATTCAAATTTACCTATTTTGTAAATACTATGTACAACGTTCTTTTATCTCCATTTTCATTCATACATGCATAATTTTATTTTATTCATCATCATTTTATAACATACACATTAAAAAAATTTTTTTACATCATTTTGCAAACATTACGAGGTATTTTTTAAATTTTAATTATCGAAATGTAAGTATATTTTTCTTTCACATTTTTGATTATTTATATATTTTTGTATGAAAACTTTTATTTAAATCGAGATCATATTTGCTGCCATAATGCGCCCAATTATTTTGTAATATGCTATTAATAATGCATTTTATGACATATATAAATCAGTTTTTGGTACATTTTAGATTTTTTGCAAATTTTTTAAATGTTTTATTCGCATTTTTAAGAATGTAATATTATAAAATGAAATGCTTAACGCACAATGTTTAAAATATTTGCCCAAATATATTTAGAAAAAGTAAGAGAACAATTCAGAAAATTGTGACAGTTGAAAATTAAAGATGCGTTTGCTTTTGTTACTAATTTTAATTAATGTACCTTTTTATAAATATTGATAAAACTTGTTTTTATTATAATAATAACTGAAAACAATGTATTACATTCTCCTCAATTAAATATGAATAAAATTTTCTGATTTTGGTTGTTATTTTTTGACATACATTATTTCATAACCAAAAAGTATTTTATACCTGTTATTGAACATAATCACACAGTTAATGGTAAATACCAAAGCTAGGATGTTTACAACTTAAAAGTATACATCAAAAATGATCATAAAATAAAAATGGAAAAAGAAAGAATTTTTAGAAAATGCTCCATATTGAATTTTTATTTAAATAATTTAAATTGTGACTCGCATTTAAAAATTTAAATTAAATAGGAATTTTATGAGTAAAATAAAATGCAAGTAACTAAATAGGAATTTTCTTAATTTTTAATGACAATTATCAAGAGCACCAGAATTTCATTGTATTATCTAATGTTTCAAACTGGAACATTGCCTATTATTCAAAAACAAACTCACTATTAAAAAAAACTTTGTTCAACATCAACGCATGTTATTCAAAATAACAAAATACAAATTTATAAATGAACTTAAAATGAAAAACTACATACAAAATTCAAAAAAAAAATAATCTAAAAAGTGAACTTATGACCAAAAAAAAAAAAAAAAACTCTGAATAGTGTCCTATAAAGAAAGAAATAACCAACTATGTCGAAAAAAATTATCATAGCTCTCTAATTACATAGAATTTGTTTTTGACCACCAATATTCAGACTTTTATATTTTATAAATACAAATAAACTTGATGAGAATTGATCAAATGAATGCATTCATAATGAATAATAGTTGCCTCTTCTTGGCCCAAGCTAACCATTGCTGTTACTTACATTCATGTATAAATAAAGCCTTCTTCATCGGTGTTTTTAATATTTTTTATAGTTATCAGCAGACTGCCGGACGCATTATAGATAGGAATGTAATTTCCCATTGACATTATATTCTTGATGAATTTGGTGTGAAGTAAATTTTCCACGAAATTACAAAGGGTGAGTTTATGAAATACAGTTTATGGATGGTTGAACTGTAAAGATTAGTGCAGATGGCGCTAGGGTTGAAAACTTCGTCAGGGTATTATTTACAATTGATTTTTACGTCTAGGCTTGAAAAAACGCGCAATCCAATTGTTTTCAATATGACTCGTTCTTTCAATCGAACTTTCAAAGAAACAAACCACAAATGAATTCGGAAGACTACGCAAGCTTGCTTTGATGCTACCCAAAAAGTAAAAAAACTGTGTATTTTGAACAAATATAGCCAAATAAGGTATAATAATCAAAACATGACTAACCTTATACTTTATTTATACTGTGATATAACTTTTCTCAAATTTGGTTTAGGCACACGACCTTACGAATTTATAAATTTCAGATAACTCTAATGAATGGTAAGTACTTAGAGTCCATTCAATTTTAGATTAATATAGCAGAATTAATTTATAACAACAAAATGAAGCATTAATCTGTGAGCTGTGTGTGTGTGTGTCTCTCTCCTGTAACTCTAGAACCGTTTGTTCCAAAATCCTGAAATTTACACAGCGGCTGCAAAGAGAAAATTTAGCTCCTGATTCTTAAATTTGTCCGAAATTTTCAATTCGGTAGTTCGTTCGGTAGAACCACGTAAAAAATGAAATTTTTTCATTGGCTACGATTCACCTGTGATAAAAATGAGACTTCTGTAGATAATTTTCTTTCTCTCAAATATTTTAAAGATTACAACAGTGATATTTGTTAGCTTACAGCTCTCACTAAAAAAATGGAGTTAATTTGCACTTTCCTTAATATTTAATTGTTTTTTATTGGATGTTAGATAAAATTAATTCGCGATCGCAACGCTTGAAAGTGCCCTCTAGCGGGTATTATCTTTTCAAGCTTTCATTTATTTAGTTTTCATTTAGTTCCATTAGAAATATTGGCAGAGTAGGACGCCATTTTTTTAGCAGCAAATAAGATGCAAAATTTCCCTAGAAAAAGGGAGAAGAACTTGAAAAAAAAATGACCCAGAGCATTGGCAAATCTTTCTGAAACAGAACACGCCCAATATTTGAAGAATAATTTCTCAATAATTTTTACCTTTCTATTATCAACAAACATGCAACCGATAACTTTCGATTTCGTGATCGCACACTGTTACAGATGTGTGTATTACGGTAATATATATATATATTTTATTTTTCTGCTTCAATTCATTACAAGTCAACATTGCTTAACGTTCAGAACGTGCGGAACTGTTATAGTGATAGAATATTCTTCTTTATAGAATAGTATATATTTCTGAATCTATATAATTCGGAAAACAACAATAAAGAATCATCCGAATTACTTGAAATATTATCATTTGTGTTGATTATTCATAATTTTTTTTTTATCGTTTTCTTGGTAAGTATTTTTTAATTTTGAAATTTCAACTAAAATTGAGCTATTCTATTAAGTTACATATTGAAATTCATATCGAGATCTTACAATAATAAAATTTTGTTGTGTGGTAAGTGATCTAAAAGTGATGAAGGGATAATCTATGCATATATATATTTGAAAATAAAATTTTCAAACGAAGAATATTTCATTTGGAATTCTCCGGATTTATAAAGCAAGTAAGTGTTATGACTTTTGTAATAAAAAATTTACTTGTAAATAACTTTTTTTCCTAATTTGATGATAGTTCTCGACAGAATGGTTTTCTAAGTCTGACTAAGAACTTTAAGACTAGAAAGAAGAAACAATATGAAATTTTTTTATTTCAATAGGAGGAATTTTTAGAATCAATTTCTTATCATAAGCATTTTTTATTTTACGTTCTTTTAGTTTGTAAATAATGATTTTTAATTGAAACTTTAAATTTTCTGATAAAAATTGTTCTCAAAAACAATTTTTCACAAAATTAAATGGTATAACATTACGTGTTTTTGTACACTTTTTGCATGATTTTAATGTTTGAAGTAATATGATGCAGAAAATTATGGAATGCAGAATTTAAATAGACCTTTCACGGATCATTAAATTTAGCAGAATGATTTCTCAGGCACTAGGTTTTAACTCGAATTACAAGATTTTTTACAAATATTTTCCGATGTGTTTCGGATGTTCCTCCTTTAAAAAAAAGATATTCCACTTTGTTTTCACTTGCATACGAAAGAATATCATACATTTTTCTTTTTTAAATTTAATAAGCCACAATGAAGAAGGAACACTGTAGAAATCTCCAGTGCAACTAATGATCCTGTTGTTCTGCTAGCAGGAATTCGCCTCCAATAGCAACGCCCCCTATAGGTCGTTGCGTTTGCGAATGATCAGCTTCAACATGATAATATAGGCGTATTATGTCAACAAGTTAGTATTCCTAAAGTTATTTGAGACCGTGTATTTATTTTATTTATAGTTCTGCTTTAAAACATGAATCTATAAAATTAAATAGTTTAAAATAAACAGTAATTGAGAAAAATTATGTTATGTATTGAAAAGAAAAAATTAATAAGGAAATAGTATTTATTCATAGAGGAGAAGCATAAAAAAATTGTCATATTATTATTGAGATCAATCATGCTTAATTAGATTATCTGTTAAGTAATAATTTAATTTAAAAAATAAAGTTTGATCTAAGAAGCAAAATTAATGAAGAAACAGTACTTATTCTTTTAGAGGACCATGAAAATTTGCTATACTATTATTGACTCCAAAGAGGCTTTGTTATTTTTGGTTATCTGTATAAATTAAAAAAAAAACTTAAGATGTGTACTAAAAAGAAAAATTAAGGAGGAAATTATACTAATTCGCTTAAGAGAAACTCAAAATAATCAAACTGTTAAAGATGCCAATGATGTTTAAATAATTTTGGTATTAAGTACTAATTGTAATTAAACATAAGCCATGTTAAAAGCAATATTAATTGAAAAATGGTACTAAACCGATTAAGCGAAGAGTGAAAAATCGCCAAACTATTATTGATGCCAATAATGTTTAATTTTGGTAATAAGTACTAAATGAAAATATGTTATGTATATGCTTTGCACTATGAAGTAAATTTAATAGAGAAGTGGTACTAAATAGTTTAGAAGAAATATAAAAAATCTCCATATCATTATTGACGCAAATGATACTTAGTTTTGGTAACAGGCACTACGGGAATTATGGTAATTGGTGCAATTTTAATCGGTACTAAATCTATAAATATAGACACAAATAAATTCTATTTGTATGTTTGATACCTATTAAAACTGTATTAATGCTGGGGAGCTTTAATATATATATATATATATATAAATGCCATTCATACATTTCATGTTTGAANTAGGTATTGAATATAGGGGAGAGTCTGGTAGCCCCGCCCACTTAAGGAGTATTGCTTATATTTCTGTATAATACTGAGTTATAATCAATATTTTTGCATGTTTCTATTGTTTTATCATCTAATTAAATAATGCAAAAAGAATAAACCAAAAAAGAATAGTTTAACTTAAAAAAATAGAAATTTAAAGAAGCATGTTTTTCAGCTGTTTTCAAAATGTGTCGGGTAGCCCCAACCAGTTACAAAAATTAGGTTTTTTGACCGTTTTTTCAGGTGTAAATGAAAATGACCAATGTATTGACAATTCGCGATCGCAACGCTCGAGTACGCCGTCTAGCGGGAGCCTGTAAATATCGGACATTAATTTATCACGTTTTCATTTAGTTCCATCAAAGTCATTGACTGAATCAGACGCCATTTTTTAGCAGCAAATAAGAAACAAAATTTCCCTAAGGAAAAGGCCGAAGAACTTGAAAAAAATCTCCAGAATATTAGTAAATCTTTCAGGAACAGAACACGCCAAACATTTGAAGAAAAATTCCTCAATAATTTTTAATTTCTATTATCAACAAACTTGCAACTGACTTCCGATTTCGGATACTGTTACAGATGTGTGTATTAAGGTAAAATGCATTTCTTCTGTCTTCAATTCATAACGAATTAAAGTGAAGTCAACATTGCTTTCGTCATTCCAGTGAATAAATATGAATTCAGAACATACAGAATTGTAATAGTTATAGCATATTCTTCTTCGTAATAGAATAGTATATATTTCTGTATCCATATAATTCGGAAAACAACAATAAAAAATTATCCAAGTTACTTGAAATAGTGCCATTTGTGCTGATTCTTAATTAATTT